GTGTATTTCTTATTGCTGTTCGCCTTTTAAATTAATGCAGGCACCTCTATCTCCATAATAATATTACTCATTTAATATAATAGCACATTTTGCTGCAATGAGCTGACTATTTTCTCACAAGTAACACAGTAAATGACCATAAATAGTTGCTTTCCTTTTTCTCTGAGAGGTTTTCAACGTTTTGTCTGTATATAAGAACTAAACGTTATTCCTAGGAAGTATTATGGTCTCATTTATAACACTGTGCTGTTGCTTTTTGTAGGATGGAGGTGTTCATACATTACCAGTTCCAGTGCGAAACCAACAAGATGTTGAAATATATATTCCCATAGTTCTTTCACCCAGCATTTTGACGTTTCCTTGGCAGCCAAAAGCGGGAGTGTACCAGTACACCATACAGGTATGCCAAAGAAGTATCTAAATGCTCAAGTAGACACAGTAAGGCCTATAACCACTATATAGTGTTGACTTTGGATACTTCAGGCACAGTGATAGCCAAAACTTTATTTGGAGAAAATTTGTTGAATGATAGTTGCAGGAATTAAGATGAAATTAAACAAAGCATACAGAAAACCAAGAAAAATAAAACCCCCTCTGACTTCTACCTCATGTCTTCTGTTCACTTCCTCTCTCTCTCATGTAAGCGTGACACACATATGCACAGAGTAGTTTGAAATTACAGAAAACATCCTAGGTACAAAGCTTAACACTAGTAATTTGAGGCAGCAATTTACTGTAAAGGCATCGAAATATGGGAGTATGAATCACAGTGGGGTGACCGCAAAAAGAGCGTGACAAGGTCAGTGAGAAGTGCACGATCAACCTGTGCCATCAGTATCCCTTCACTCCTTGCACATCTTGTGTTTCTAATAAAAGTTATAGGGAGGCAAAGACTACAGTTTTGCCCTTCTAAAGGGACTTTTTTCTTACATTTCTTATCTGTGTCTTTGCTCCCATGCTGCCAGTCCTTCTGTACGCTTCATGAAGGAAATGGCTTGTCTTCCAGTTTCCAGAGTATAGTCTAACTGGAACATTGTGCTTCCTCAGCCTGAACTCTCACCCCAGTGCAATGATACCCAGATCCTGCACTGAAGTGTTTTAGGCACAGTTCCTACCTCTTCCCTTTTAGCATGAAGTAGTGCTGAGTTTTGGGTCTGTCTTCAGGTAAGCAGTGTACAAAAAGAGGCAGCAGGACACATGGTGTCTGTAGCAAACAAATTAATCTCATAGGAAAATGCATTCTCAGGTGTAAATGTGAAGTTAGTGCCATTGAGTTTCAAGCTGTCATCAGTACTTTTTAATTTCTGCGGGAGTAGTGTTTGGTTTAGTTCATGCTATACCCGACCACACCAGCAGAGTGTGGTAAAAATTCTTAGTACAAATACACATTTTCAGTACTTCATCATAACTTCTGCTAGAGTTTTCCCAGCAAGGGAAAGTAAATGTGGTTTTCTGTTTCCCAGCTTTTTCACAGTTCTATTCTTGTCTCGCCTTATCTTGCATATATCATCAAATATCTCACCCAAGAATATTCCTTTGTGTTACTCCAGTGATCTGCGTCAGTATTCTGACTTTACTGTGATTTTGTTTCAGTAAAAATGTAAGAACTTCTTTTTCTCCTAACTTTTAAATTAATCTGCATTTACTGAAACTGAGTTCATTTTCCCAATCTGCCCATTCAACACCACTGGTGGTTGTTTACAATAGCACACAGCTTGACTGTTGTTCCTGCCTGTAGATTACTGTTTGCCTCCTACTCGATAGTTTTTGAGTCAGCCTATTTTAAATTGGTGAATACGCTTTTTCTGAAAATAAGTTGAAAGGGATTTTTTGATCTAGCCAAATTCTGTTTATAGCTAAAGAAACTCCTTCCAGATGGTATCAGAATGACTTCTAAGTTTTACTTTGTCAGCTGTCTGGTTTTTTGTTGGTAGCTTTGTTCATATTTGTGGTAATATGTGGCAGAAGTGCTTGCCAAGCCACTTTCCATCATTTATCAGCAGTCCTGGCTGACTGGGGAGGTTCCAGTCGACTGGAGGCTTGCAAACGTGACGCCCATCTACAGAAAGGGCCGGAAGGAAGACGCAGGGAACTCCAGAGCTGTCAGTCTGACCTCAGTGCCAGGGAAGGTGATGGAACAAATCATCCTGAGTGCATCACACGGCACATGCAGGACAACCAAGCGATCAGGCCCAGTCAGCATGGGTTCAGGAAGGGCAGGTCCTGCTTGACTGATCTTATCTCCCTTTATGACGAGGTGACCTGCTTGGTGGATGAGGGAAAGGCTGTGGATGTTGTCTGCCTGGACTTTAGTAAGGCCTTTGACACCGTCTCCCACAGCATCCTCCTGGAGAAGCTGGCTGGGCATGGCTTGGATGGGCACACGCTTTGCTGGGTTAAAAACTGGCTGGATGGGAGCACAGAGAGTTGTGGTGAATGGAGCTAAATCCAGTTGTGACCAGTCACAAGCGGTGTTCCCCATGGCTCTGTTTTGGGGCCAGTCCTGTTTAACATCTTTATGTTAGGCAGAAAAGGACCTGGGGATGTTGGTGAACAGC